TTTTCAATTTTTAAATTTTCCCCTGAATGTTTTTTTTTTTTTGTAGAAAAAAAAAAAAAAAAAAAAAAAAAAAAAAAAAAAAAATATATATATATATATATATATATATATATATATATATATATATATATATAGTTTTTTTACCTAAACATTAACCCAACCAAGCAGAGCAGGTTAAATTTTAAAATAAAGCTGTTTCATGCACATATTTACTAGCAAGCATGGTCAGTACTCCAAACTGGGGTGAAAGTTCACCTTCCAGCAGGACAACGTCAATAAACCTACAGCCAGAGATTCAGTGGAATCTTTTATCAGTGCTGGTTGATCCACTGTTTTTCATGTTTAGGTGTTTCCCTGAGGTCACACACCTGATTTAAAACGATAGCTGATTAACATGCTTCTGCAGGAGGGAGTGTAATTATTTAAACCACGTGTGCAGGAACAGCTGCACATCTGTAATATGGAGGACAGTGGGGCCCTGACGACCAGGATCGAGAACCACTGCTTTAGATGAAAGTATGTTCTGTGTTGGGGTGGCCTAGTCAAAGTCCAGACCTAAATCTAACTGGGATTCATCGTCAAAACCTAAAAATTGAGAAGCGTAGATGGAATAGAATGTCTTTATTGTACAATCTCATGTGTATGGAGAGTCAAACCTCTAATTTCAGGGTTCACATTTAAAACAGAACATCAGATATTGAGCATTAAAGCCAAACAGGAAAGTATGTCTGTCTGAAATCACAAGAAAAGCCTTCCAACAAACACCCGAACAGAACCACTTGTAAGTTTGTTCACGCCCTCCGTTTTGCGAGACATATTTATGATTTATATTATGCTAAAGACTTTTTTTTTTGACAGCTTAATTGTTATTTTCTCTTCTCGTTGATTTGTTTCTCTGTGTCTGAGATTGGCGCACTGCTCCCAATAATTCCCTGTTCTGCTGTGCTTGTGGCCCCGCCCTCTCGTCTCAAGGTTGAATGCCTTTGTGCTGTTCCTTTGTGAGGTCCCATTCTGCTGCCAGTTCATAGAGTTTGCAAATGCGATCGCAGCCCGCGCTGACAAACTCAAGCCCTGGCAGAAAGCCCTCTTCTACTGCGGGTAAGAACAAGCATCCATTGTCAAAACGGCTGACGTCCGAGAAACCTGGACTTTTAAGCATAAACACTTATGTACGAAAGTTTTGTTTTTCATCACTTCTGCATGTTCTAAACGTTTGCCTTTTGTTTAATGTCCTTTTTGGTCACTTCTCCTCAGGATGGCCCTGTTTCCCGTGTTCCTGAGCTTCTCCATTACAACGCTGTTTGGAAACGCCATCGCCTTTGCCACAGGAGTTCTTTATGGCCTTGCATCTTTAGGCAAAAAGTGAGATGGCCTCTATAGGTTAAAAGCATGCAACACGTTACGCCTTTGTATTTAAACATGTCTTTTTTTTTATTTATTTCCCAATGACTCACATTATAATAGGCTCTCACGTTAAAGGCAGTTCACAACATTTTAATCAGTTAACACAATGCCACTCTAATGACCTTCCCTGTTTTTGATGCAAATAGGTTTAAACTGAGTGCGTTTTGTACTAATCCATTCTAACTCTGATTCTTGTATACTTGCTTTTTCTTTATTTTGTCCACTTATTTTTGTTGCCACCCTTCCTTCGCATCCCGTTTCCTCTTTTTCTTCTTCTTCTTTTTTTTTTTTTTTTTCCCCCGGCCATCTCAGGGGAGACGCTGTGACTTACGCCAGACTACAGCACCAGAAGCAGGGAGACGAAGAGCGGACGGCAGGGACAGTAAACGGAGCTCCGGAGTGAGGAATCTGATTCTCCTCCTCCCCTCGTCTTGTTTTGCAGTTTTTTCACTTGGACCTTTCTGTTCATCCTACCTTTTGTCATGTTCTCCTTTCCAATACTACATAGTTGTTTATTTAACTGCTTAGTTTGGTGCATTTTTTTTGTTGTTGTTCTGAACCAATACTGTCAACAAACGTTGAATTGATTTATTTACCTCCAATCTAAAAGATGGAATTTATCACCATGGCTCAACACTTTTGAGGTTATTCTTTAAATTCTTCTTTTAGATTTTAGTTTGTTTTCTTTTAACCAACATTTACTTTTACAAAAACTGTTTTTTTTTTTTCCTCAAAGCCTCCCAGTAAATTACACGTGAAATGATTGTGATAGAAACAAAATGGAGCTCAGCTTGTTCAGGCAATGCAGAGACATGCAGTGCGGGCCGGAAGCTCACCAGCAAAAGATTTGACATTTTTACTATTTACTAATGACAGTATGACCGTTAAAAAGTGGTAAGAACTGAGTTTATGTTCTTCAGGGGGGGAAAGGAAAACCAATTTACAGTGGTAGTTATCCTACCAGCTGAACAAACAAATTTGACTGTTTAATATATATTTTTACATGAAACCTCCACCTGACTTGGAGCGAAAAGCCAAGCTAGCCAGGATCGTGGTCCGGAGGTTGAAATCTTCTGGTCTTGCATGATGAGGCCACAAATAACTACACAGATGTGTGGCTGCATTTTAGGGAAAATGAAACTCTGTCACTTGAAACTACTGAGTCTTACTGGGGATGTAACATTAGTAATAAAAATGGAACACATGCAGAAATGCTTCCGTTATAAAGTTTGAGTTTATCAAAAAGAAACCACAGGTCTGCCCACTACATGGGAGTTAAAATGTCCGATGCTCTCTGTAGCAAAAGGACACATTTAAAATGAAAGAGGAGTAGAGCAGTGCAATTTCATAAATCACAATGATGTTTGGATTTAGTTTATTCCTTGTTTTTGTTGTTGTGCCGGTTTTCATTTAAAACTGATGTTTTAAATTATCCAATCAAGCCAGATACAGTTAAGGAAATGATGTTTAAAAAGCCCAAAAGGGAATAACATTTTTTACCGCATCACGACAGTCTGCTACAGAAAAATGTGAAAATGAGTGGGGAAAACAGGCAGGTGGGTTTCTTTTGGATAAAATTTACAGTGAGAACAATAATTAGAACGTTTTTTTTTTTTGTTTTGCTTTTTTAAAACCTGGTGTGTTGGACAAGGAACCAAGTTTATCTTCCCACCAAAGTGTGGAGGATTGGCAGTGGATGTGCTTAGAAATGTCGATTCACTGTGTTTGAGAACTTCAGGAGAGTTTCCAGTGTGAGGGAAATTACTTCTTCAGTAATTCAAATCTATTTTAAAGCTTTCAATGCGTTTTTATCAGGGGTGAAAGTAAATATGGAGATCTCTGTTTATTCATAAAACCTAAAGTGTTTCCTTAACCTCTTCACTGTCTTTTTTTTTTCACAGCTTTTGTATTTACTTACCTCTTTTGTTTTCATTTGTTTTCTTGATCAAATGAGAAATCTTGTATTCCCTTCACTTTTTGAACAGTTTTGACTTTATGGGCTTTGATCAATTAAGTCTCAGACTCCTGAGTTTTTAACCCCATTTCAGCCAAACCTGGAGTTCATAATAAGAAGATGTATTAAGGTCTGATAACATGGCACACAAAAACCTCTGAACAGTGGCTTGTGGGCATTTATGAACAAAGGCAAAAGGGATTGAATGTATCTGGTTTGTCCAAAGATTTCCACACAGTTTATTAGTTTTGTGTTAGACTTTTGTGTCCTTTTCTTTTTTGTATCCCCAGATAAGCTGATTTAGTGTAGCTCAGCCTGTGTAGCCTATAGGGAGCTGGGATGTGTGACCATTTGTAAAACATTTTGTAAAATTGTTTTTTTTTTGTTGTTTTTTTTTTGTTCTTTCTCTGTTTCTTTAAAAGAATTGGGTCATTATTAACAGTTTAATGGAAGGAAGTGTTTTTCTTCGGGACTGCATGCCACTCATTAGGCAGGGTGATGGTTTACCTTAGTCATGATAAGCGAGACGGAGATTGTACGATTTAGCTGTTTTTATTGCCTTGCCCCAGAAAAACGAATGCTGCTTGCATGTGTCTCTTACAGCTTTTGCTGTCTAAAAGTCTCTATTCTGTCAGTTTACGATAAAGTTTTATTTAATGTACCACCAGGGACAGCTCTCAGGTATCACACAGACATAGCGCCAGCTGCACGACTTTGAAACTACCGTGTCACTTTAGCCAGTTGAAACACTTTAGCAATCTCCGGTGTTGGTGAATGTTTAAGGAACATCACTGTTGGTTATTCTCCTGGTCCACACGCATTTGATTTATTGTCTTTATTTAGTTCGAGCAATTCGCCCGCTTGATTCATCTGTTGCCGGCGGGTGTTTAATGGCGTTTTAGCTGTAAGAGGTACGTGTACAGTCATTGTGTGTTGTGATGTGAAGTCTAATTCTGAATTTGGTGAAATAAACTTGCTACTACCAGTGCTGGGTTTGCTTGTTTGTTT